CGCCTCGCCCGCCGACGGCTCGGGGGACAGGGAGGTGCTGGGGGGAGAGGGGGTGCTGGGCGAGGAACGAGGCGCCCCGGGAGCCAGCAGGTCCCCCCTGGGCAGGACGGACAGCAAGGAGGCTGAGGTGGGGAGGGGGTACCCCGAGCCTTTCCTGGCCCAAGCACGCCTGGCATGGGAAGCCCAACAAGCCCATTACCACATGAAGCAACGGAGCAGTTGGGACTCCCAAAAGGATGGGTCGGGCTACGAGAGCGACGGGGCCCTCCCCTTGCCCATGCCGGGCCCCGTGGTGAGAGCTTTCAGTGAGGACGAGGCTTTGGCACAGCAGGAGAACAAGCACTGGAAGAGGAACACCTTTGAGAAGCTGGGCTTCCCCCAGATCCTCCTGGAGAAGAGCGTGTCGGTGCAGACCAACCTGGCCTCCCCGGAGCCCTACCTACACCCGTCCCAGGTAACGCCCTCCAGGATGTCCTTGGGGCTTGTGGGGGGGGGGGGTGGTCGGGCTGCACCTCGTTGCCTCACGTTGGTGACCCTCACCCACCTCCTCAGGTGTGTCCCCACCACCCCTCACACGGTGGAAGCTCCTTCTTCCAGCAAAGCCGGTTTCGACCCAGCACAGGGTGCTCAGGAACCATCCCGTGGCAGCTGCAGCTTCAGGGGCTGCTTCTCCTCCCTGGTCTGGTCTTGGTGAACCCCAAAAACACACCCAGCTCACCCCGGGGAGCCCCAAGGGGTGGTCCCTGGCTGGGCTGGGTGCTCCTGCCACGCACACGGGGCTGACATCCTTTCCAAGACCATTCAAGACCATTTCCAAAAGGGAAAGTTGAGTTGAGGGGCTTGGTTTGGCTGTCCCACCCCATCCCAGGCAGCACATCCATGGAGGTGCCACCTCTGCCTCCTCCACAGCACAGTGGGACTCACAGCACTGCCAACGTGGCTGCCAGGTTTGCTTTCTCATAGAAGTTGGTCCTTGTCAAGTTGGTCCCTCAAAGAAATTGGTCCTTAGCAAGCTGGTCACTCAAAGTTGGTCCTTAGTAACTGGGTCCCTCAAAGAATTTGGTCCTTGGCAAGTTGGTTCCTCAAAGAAATTGGTCCTTAGCAAGCTCTTCCCTCAAACAAGTTGCTCTGTAGCCAGCTGGTCCTTCAAAGAAGCTGGTCCTTGGCAAGCTGGTTCCTGAAAGTTGGTCCTTAGTAACCTGGTCTCCCAAAGAAGTTGGTCCATAGCAAGTTGGTCCCTCAGAGTTGGTCCACAGCAAGTTGGTCCCTCAGAGTTGGTCCATAGCAAGTTGGTCCCTCAGAGTTGGTCCATAGCAAGTTGGTCCCTCAAGGAAGTTGCTCCTTAGCCCCTCAAAACCTTGGGATGAAACAGCTACAAGTGCACCAGCTTCCCAGGATCTGCTTCCCAGGGCTCTGAGCTGCTTGTCCCCTCCCTGGGACTGAGCTGCCCCAGCCCTGGAGGCCCCTCCACCCCAGAGCAGCTCCTGGGGCTGCTGTGGATCATTCCTGTGGTGGTGTAGTCCTCCTGCTGCTGATAGCTCCCCATGGACTCTGACCTGGACCTGCTGAAGCTGGTCCAGCCCATCAGATGGTTCCCATCAGCAGCTCCTGGCTTTCAGTTCTCATGTCCTTTCCCCTCCAGCATCCAACACCCAAAATTTGTCCCTCTGACCTGTAGTGCTCCACTCTGGGCAAGGACAGTGACACTGACCATGTCCCCGTGGCCTGAGAACCTGCCTAAAAGGTGGAGCTTGATACCAGCAAGGAGGAGAAAGACCCCGGACCTGGGAGACACCAAATCATCTAGAAACCCATTTTGCTCACGGGGGTGTGTGAGGAAACGTGTGGGATGTCCCATCCAAAGGCAGCAGAAGACAATTCCCCGTGCACGGGTGTCCTCAAGGTCATGATGCTACATGAGGAGGTTCAAACCCAAACCTGGTTGAGCTCCAAATCCACTTTTGGACCCTCACGTTGGCCAGGAGGAATATCTGCCACCAGTAGTGACCCTGCACCTTCTGCGTGGAGCTTGGGATGTGTTGGGACTCTTCTCCTCTGTCCTGTTTGCTTGACCCCATATGACATTGTCCTCAAGCTGAGAGACACCAGTTCCAGGAAGAGCAGATTCCAACCAAGGTGGTGGGACACTGGACACAGAGAACTTGTGGGTGGCCCATCCTTGGAATTGTTCAAGGGGTTCAGTTGGAAGGGGCTTTGAGCAACCTGGGAGGGAGGTGTCCATGGTGAAGGGGTTGGACTAGGTGATCTCCAAAGGACCCCTCCCAACCCAAACCACTCCACGATCACCTCTGAGATTGTCACGTGGTTTTAATTTGGTTTTATACACCCCCCCTGAGCTGAGGGACCTTCAGTGTTGGTTGAAGCAAAAGCTTCTGCAGACCTGTGGGAGGATCTTTGTGAGGGGGGGGGAGGTTGTCACGTTGCCCATGACAACAAGATGGGCCAGAAATGGAGAAGAAAATGGGGGTGATGAGACCTCGGGGAGGAGGGAAGCACAGAGGAGATGTGATGGGGTGGGACAAGCCATGGGGACCTGCTCAGTGTCCCCACATTGGCCCTACACCAGAGTGTGTCCAAGGTGGCACCAGGACCTCCTGCTTTCACAGGGCACTTCTGGGTTTGAGCGTTCCCCTAACCCTTGAGATGAAAGGAAGGTCTTCTCCTGCCCAGGAGACCAGCTGTAATGGAGTGGACTTGGCTGGAGAAAGCTGATGTGGTCCTTTCCTTCTCTCTGCGTGCCCTGGTGGGTGCCCTGGCTGTGGACCAGCTTTTGGAAGAGCCACGGCAGTGGTGGCTGCAGAGCAAGGAGCCTTGGAGCAAATTCTGCATCTTCTTCCACCCAGAAAGTCCCACGTGCCTTCAGCTGACCAGGAGGTTGGAGGACACAGGAGGACCTTGTGGAGGCTGTGGCCTCCATAGGAACCCAGGGCTGGGTCCCTCAGGGGGGTGAAGCTCCCTGTGTCCCCACCACCAGGTCCCAGCTGTCATCACCATGGTGGAAGGTGGTGGTGAAGATGGGAGCTGAGCAACCTCAATGGAAAGAGGAAACTGGGGAGGGACAAGGTGTTGAGTGAGAAGACAAGAAACTTGGGACTTCTTTGAAGAAGGAGAAGCTCAGTTGTCCTTCCAGCAGCTCTGGTGGCTCTTTGGGTGGCTCCCTGTCCCCTCCTGTGTTTGTCACTCACTCTTGGCTCTGGGATTTTCCACTTTGGTTCCACCTTCTCCTTTTCTTCTGTCCCTCACCTAAAGCCCAGCCCCAGGGCCATGACACCCCTGTGGTCACCTTGGTGGAGGCCACCAACACAATTCCCCTGCACGTGGTAGGGACAACAATGTCACCTCTGGATGATGTGGTGTGTCCTCTGACAAGGGAAGGCCTTATCTCCCATGTCCCTAAGGCCACCAAGCCCAGGTGACACTAGCCTGGCCTTTGCACCTCCAGAAGATGGAGGTGAAGGATGATGGAGCCATGTTGAACCAGAGAACAATCCATCCCAAGTGTCCTTGTTTGCCTTTCTCCATGTTGGCCATCAGCTGTTTGGGTGTCCCTCCACCTCCTGGGTCCTTCGAGTGGAAGGTGTTCCTGCCATGGTTGGAACTAGATGATCTTTAAGGTCCCTTCCAACCCAAACCATTCCATGATCCACAAGTTGTGCTGGTTCCAGTAGGACACTGCTCTGCAGGACCTTTGCTCCGCAGAGGTCCTACCTGCTTGGGTGCTCTACAGGTGAGGTTAGATCCTGGGCAGCCTGTGTCCCTCTGCACGTGGTAGGGACAACAATGTCACCTCTGGATGATGTGGTGTGTCCTCTGACAAGGGAAGGCCTTATCTCCCATCTCCCATGTCCCTAAGGCCACCAAGCCCAGGTGACACTAGCCTGGCCTTTGCACCTCCAGAAGATGGAGGTGAAGGATGATGGAGCCATGTTGAACCAGAGAACAATCCATCCCAAGTGTCCTTGTTTGCCTTTCTCCATGTTGGCCATCAGCTGTTTGGGTGTCCCTCCACCTCCTGGGTCCTTCGAGTGGAAGGTGTTCCTGCCATGGTTGGAACTAGATGATCTTTAAGGTCCCTTCCAACCCAAACCATTCCATGATCCACAAGTTGTGCTGGTTCCAGTAGGACACTGCTCTGCAGGACCTTTGCTCCGCAGAGGTCCTACCTGCTTGGGTGCTCTACAGGTGAGGTTAGATCCTGGGCAGCCTGTGTCCCTCTGCACGTGGGAGGTAAAGACACAACATCCATCTTGATGGTGGTTTGGAGGAGCCACCAGCCTCCTCTAGGTGGCTGCTGGAGAACCATGTTTGAACAGGGTTGATAAGGGGTTATTTGGGGGTTGGGGGCTGGTCACAGGTGAGTGTGTCCCTCCCACCCATTGCCAACTGGTGCCACCAGCTGCCTTGGCCACTGGGGCAGCTCCAGTTGGAGAGGACTGAGGAGCAGCTCCTTGGAGAGGATGTGGCTTTTTGGTGCAAGTGTGGGGCCACCTCTCGGTGCTGTGATGGGTGTGGGGGTTGGGTGGGTAGGTGGTTGGTTGGCTTGATGGTTGGGTGGTTGGTTGGGTGGTTGATTGGTTTAGTGGTTGGTTGGTTTGATGATTAGTCTGGTGGTTGGTTTGGTGGTTATTTAGTTGGTTAGTTGACTGATTGGTTGGTTTGATGGTTGGTTCGTTAGTTGGTTGGTTTGATGGTTTGTTAGCTGGTTTGTTGACTGGTTTGTTGGTTGGGTGGTTGGTTAGTTGATTTGTTGACTGGTTGGTTGGTTTGGTGGTGTGTTGCTTGGTTTGGTAGTTTGGTGGTTGGTTGGTAGCTTGGTTGACTGATTGGTTGGTTTGGTGGGTTAGTTGGTTTGTTGACTGGCTGGTTTGATGGTTGGTTGATATGTTGACTGGTAGGGTGTTTGGTTGGTTTGCTGGCTGCTTGGTTCACTGGTTAGTTGGTTGGTTGGTGGGTCAGTTGTTTTGTTGACTGGTTGGCTGGGTTGGTGGTTGGCTGATGTGCTGACTGCTTGGTTGGTTGGTTTGGTGGTTATTTAGTTGGTTTGTTGACTTATTGGTTGGTTTGATGGTTGGGTGGTTGGTTAGTTGATTTGTTGACTGGTTGGTTGGGTGGTTGGTTGGGTGGTTTGTTGGTTGTTTGGGTGGTTGGTTGGTTGGTTCATTGGTTGGTTGGTTGGTTGGGTAGGTGGTTGGTTGGTTGGTTCATTGGTTGGGTGGTTTGTTGGTTGGTTGGTTCATTGGTTGGTTGGTTGGGTGGGTGGTTGGTTGGTTGGTTCATTGGTTGGTTGGTTGTTTGGTTCATTGGTTGATTGGTTGGTTGAGTGGTTGGTTTGGCGGGCGGGCAGTTGGGTTGTTGGTCGCTCGGCCTCTTGGCGGTTGGTTGTTTCGGTGGGTGGGTTGTTTCTCAGTGGGTTGGTGACACAGCCAGGCCACGAGTGACGTTGCCTCCCCGGGCTGTTGTCCCCCTAGTCAGAGGACCTCGGTGCCTGCGCCCAGTTCGAGAGCAGCCGGCAGACCAGGAACATGATGCCCAGCGCCAGCTGCGTCTTCCCCACCTTCAACCTGCGGAAACCCTCCTCGGAGACGGACATTGAGAACTGGGCCTCCAAGCACTTCAACAAGCACACCCAGGGGCTCTTCCGGAGGAAAGTGTCCATTGCCAACATGCTGGCCTGGAGCAGCGAGTCCATCAAGAAACCCATGATCATGACCAACGACCGCAACGTCAAGAAGGAGGCGTGTGAGATCTTCAAACTGATCCAGATGTACATGGGCGACCGGCGGGCCAAGACGGACCAGCTCAACGTGGCTTTGGAGATTGCCACCAAAGGTTGGAGCATGCAGGGCTTGAGGGACGAGCTCTACATCCAACTGTGCCGCCAGACCACCGAGAACTTCCGTTACGAGAGCCTGGCCCGGGGCTGGGAGCTCATGGCCATTTGTTTGGCCTTTTTCCCACCCACTCCCAAATTTCATTCCTACCTTGAAGGCTACATCTACAGGCACATGGATCCAGTGAACGACACGAAAGGTAAGGGAGAAACCTCTGCCTGGTGGCTTTGGTCCCTGCTGAGGTTCCAACTCGGTGGTTTCACCTTCTTTGATTCCTTTCCCCACGGCGCATTCCTGAGTCTCCTGGTTGGAAGGTGGGTGAGGAGATGAAGGGTGAGCCAGGAGATCATCCAACAGCCCACCCAGAGGTCCAGCTGGCTTTGCCACCCATCCTTTCCTCCCCGGTGGCCAAGAAACCAGTGTGAGACCCACCACCAAATGAGCTTTGGTGCCTTCCCTGCGGGTTGGGCGTCACCTCTGCTGGGGATGAGCCAGAAACGAGAGGTCTCCGGACTTCTCCTGGCGTGGAGGTTTTATGGGGGTGGTGACTCCATGACCCTGTGGTTCAGC